TAGATAGGCCAGGACAGACAGAGGAGTGATAGTGTAACCGTTTTTGGCAGAACGTTTGTCGATGGATTGACTTGACTTGTCTCTTTGACGAGTTCGTAGCTTGGTGCGGAGAATGGTAAAACTCACTGATGATGCCACTGGGAATCATGACAACTACTATGGCAGACGACTTCCGAATAGTTGCGTTCTACTATGTCCCCCTGACAACAAGACCAAGTTGCAACAACGAGGTAAACCCACTTCTATACAGTGAAAGATTTGCATATGATGTCCTCCTGCCTTAAGAAAAAAACAAAAAAGGGAAGAAAAACAAGAATGCCCAAGATATATCAGAAAGACAATAGGTACAGCTAAGGATAGAAAGGAAAACAGACATAAATATTTTTTGGGCATTCCTGTAATTCTTTCTTTTCATCTTATACCACCAGTTTTGTCTGTCTCCTCATCTTGCCTCGTCTCTGGGACCCGCCCTGCTCCGAGACTTGGCTCAACAGTCCCTGGCCTTTTTCAACTTACAGGAGACGCAATCGACCCTCACGACGGGTCATTCCGTCGGGCATGGTAACCTGCATGTGTTGACGACTCGGTCGAGAGACATGAAACCGCGGGTCCTGTTCCACTGGAATCCTGCCAGGTAGCACAAGCAAAATGGGCTGCAACCGAGGGTCCGTCTGGATGCAGGTGATCTGAACTCTAACGTATGGCTGGACGCCGATCTCTTCCTCTTCTGATAGAATTCACAGGAAAGAAGGGAAAAATACATAAATAAGATGTGTCACTTTGCCCAAATGAAGTCTCAAGTGGCATAGTTCGAGTTCACAGTAGGAACCTGACTGTCCTCGAGCCATACCAGTTTTCTGTGGGTTATGCGAACAAGAATATTCCATAATAATCTGGTGTATATTGGCGAAATTCAGTTCCTGATAGCCATTCGGTCGAATAAGAGGTCTTGCCCAAAGTGCAAGTGTAGTCGGCAAGCTTAATGTTAACATCAAATCTGTCCTAAATTAATTCTATTTAAATGGCCAGCAATTTGCGTTACGCCAAAGTGACCTGTTGATTCTTCACCTAAATTGAGCGATTTCGATTGGCTGATGTTTGAGTTTGGGAGATTCTGCTTGATTTCGATCAAGACTATAAGAAACTGATAAAGAACTTTAGTCGGCCTAGGCCACTTTAGGTTAAATAAGGACTATCGATAATTACATTTTTATACAATCAAATGAGTGGGCTTCACAATGTCATTGCCTCCCATAATGTTACATTATATTTCGGTTATGCCTCGCTCCCTTCGTATCTTCAGCACTCTTAACGAGATTTGGAGTCGGGTTGTACACATCGCATGGTAACATTCGACCAGATTTCGTTTTAAGTTACAGACAGATAAATTTTCCAACAATGATATAAGTTGAAATGAATATATGCGAATAAAAGTTGTGTTTCGAGGAATCTCTTGTAGCATAATTGTTGAGCTTACTTCCATTTCGAGTGAAAGTGTTGTGGGAAGAGATTCGAAGGTCGGTTGCACCAGAAGACGACTGCGGATTCCTCTTGACCAGCTGTCAATTGGCTTCACGGGAAGATTCATTCTGACGCTGTTTCCGAGGCAATTTCCTTCGCTTCCGGTGAAAAGGTGCTAAGCATTCGTTCGTCACATGACGGACATCATCAGAGCGAGGTAACATCGTCACGACCAAATTCAAGCTAACGAGTCAAGAAAACTCACTGGTACACCCCTGAAAAGCTGCATATCTACTTTATATCTGGCCTCTTTGATGAGGTATAAAGTGATTTGGTTACTTCCAGTCACAGATTAACCTCGAAACCTGTGATTGTGTCTGTCTCTGTATGTGTATATGCCTGTTCGTGTTCAATTATGCTTTGTAGGGATGTACCGGTGAGTTTTCTTGACTCGTTAGCTTGAATTTTGTTCTGACAAGGATACCTCGCTCTGATGATGTCCATCATATGACGGACGAAAGCTTGGCACCTTTTCACCGGAATCAAAAGGAAACAGCCTCGGAAACAGCGTCAGCATGAATCTTCCAGCAAAGCCAATCGACAGCTGGTCAAGAGGAATCCGCAGTCGTCTTCTGGTGCAACCGACCTTCGAATCTCTTGCCCCAACACTTTCACTCGAAATGGAAGTAAGCTCAAGAATTGAATATAGCCTCATTTTCCCAAAAGTTGTACTTCTCCAGGATGGACTGCAGCTTCAACCTCGCCTAAGTCATATCAATACCCCCAGCGGGACTCGAATCACGATAACCACTACGTCACGTTGCCACGAGAGCCCTTGAGTCAATGGGCAGATGCGAATTTCAAGGAAGAGCAAGCATTTTCACATATCACATTCTTTGGTGGGATTGACGATGAGGCAAGGTTGTATTTGCTATAGCAATCGACTACATTAATTATTTTTCGTTTATAGGTAGGGTCTCGAGACTACCAATAGTAGTGGTTGACTTGTCGAGATTGCACGCTGCATTGTCATGGTTCGAGTCCCACTGTGGGCGTCGATAAGACCTAAGTGGGGCCGAAACTGCAGTACACCCTGGATGAAAACACCTTTTGGAAAAGCAAGTCATTGTGAAATTTAACGGAAGCATCAGCTATTCTTATATTATTGTGGGAAAATTGAAATACCAGTCCTTCATCACCTTAAATCAAATAGGATTAATGCAGCTCATATAAGTGATTCACTGGTAGTCTATAAACCCTACTTATAAAGGAAAAAGAAGGCCTTAAGGTTAGACAATATGTGAACGGAGGAGAACTGTGAAAGTGGAAATGAAGGCACTTTCCAGCGAGATACTAGATCCCCAAACGCATATGGTCTGTCCACAATTCATAAACAAGTTACCCAAAGTAGGATTATTGTAAATAATAAAGGTAACGTGATGCATAAAGCATCAAGATTTTTAGATACTCATTTAAAGCAAGTCTCCAAACTTTGAAAGTGTTCGGTAAGCAAATCCTAGGGCTTGATTAAGTTACTTGATGATGTTAATACGATAGAAAGAGAGGATTCGCTGCTAAGTTTCCATGCTGTATCTATGAGCACTAAAATTTCGATAAACAAGGCAATAAATGCAGTAGAATCAACTATAGATCAACACTCTGAAATTATAAAAGGTAAAATGTATAATAGTGAACAATACATATTTTACTTTCAAGTGTAAGTAGTATGAGATTATACTGAGCTTGGAAATGGGATCAGCAAAGTTATTATTTCCTCATATGCACGGAAAAGATAATTTGGGTGAATTACTTTAGCTAATAAATAGAATATATGCCACTACTAAGTTTATCATGGAGTTAAAAAAAAAAGAAAAACAAAGGCCTTTTTTGAATGTATTATTAAACAAAGGTGATACATTGGACGGAAAAATGCATATTAAACCCACACAGGCGGGTTTCCTATTTATCACTTCTACGATTAAGATAGGAGTCGTGAAATCAATGATAATAATGAGTCTGCGTCTATGAGGTGTAAACCACATGGACCAGGAGATTAGTAGATTGAGACATATACTGCTTCAAAACTATTATCCATAAGAATTAGTAGATAATTACATATCAATTGTCAGTAACAAGATGAGAGGAGCAGTATAGACAATTGGACCATTCTATTTGTTTGCTGATTTTGCCTTCCCGTCGTCTTGCAAAAAGGTTGAGTGATCTACTGAGGAAGAGAAACATAAAAAGAATGTATAAAGAGAAATTAACACTTTGTTTGGTAGTTCCTACGTTTAGACCATTTGCAGACCCTCTTTCTAGCTCAGGCTGCTGCAAGGTTTTGTGCTCATGTGGTTAGATCGATGTGGGGAAGACCTGCCGACCAACCGAGTTGAGAATATGTGAACACAAAACCACTTGTACAGGACTATGGATACAAAGATCAGCTTTTTAGTACAGGACACTCGATCGACTGGTCGAAAATACAACGCTTGGCAG